TGCTTCTGTGCCCCTCTGTGCTCCATGTCTCAACTGCATCTTTTTGAGATCTTTTTTCCTTGTTCTTAGTCTCTATTTTACATTCCAAAGAGGACCATGTTCTGAGAATTGAGCCTCTTGGCTGGTCCCCTATGGTCCCCACTGGATTTATTTAACCAAGGCATCTATGGTCGGTTTTACTTACATTGTCCTGTGGAGACATTTCAGGGAAGAGCTGTTGTCAAGACTGGCTTTGAGACGCTGCCTGACCTAACCACCATTCCCACCTCCCAGTCATTACCCAATCTCCTAAAAGTAGAATGAAGTCCCGTCCACATCCCAGTCCAGTTCTGTCTCCTTGGGATCCTGCTTGCTTTCCCTAAGCAGAGCAGAAAGCAGTGGCAGAGCTAGGGAAAGGAATCACTGCGGCACATTCATTCCCAACCTGCTGCTTTACTCTCTGTCTAGATGAATCCTGAGCTCAAGTCAGGAAATGACTCAAGGAAAATGGAGGCATTTTTTTCCTCCTGCAAAAATGAGATTTGCCTGAGCTTACCCTCTGCATCCTGAGTAGACACGTGTCAGTTCATTTCTAAGCTTTATTGTGATGTGTTCTGGGGTTGGTTCCGCACGATTATGCTCCCAGGACCTCTTCTCCACTCAGTGCTTCTGAGGAAACAAATACTGCTCAGAGGGTCTTGTAGACAAAGTGACTGGTACAAACTGAAAGATCATTTTACACCCTGGAGCTGCTTTCTGGAAACTTGTTTTATACATTTTGCGGGGGGGTGGGGGGGGTAGAGACAAAGTCTTACTTTATCGCCCTCGGTAGTATGTTGTTTCGTCACATAACTCACAGCAACCTCCAACTCCTGGGCTTAGGCAATTCTCTTGCCTCAGCCTCCTGAGTAGCTGGGACTACAGGCGCCCACCACAACACCCGGCTATTTTTTTGTTGCAATTTGGCCAAGGCTGGGCCTGAACCCACCACCCTCGGTATATGAGCCAGCGTCCCACCCACTGAGCTGTAGGCGCTGTCCTCCTTTTATACTTTTTGAAGGTAATTACATTTTATAAAGAGACAATCCCTCATGAAAGCCAAAAAGTTTAATTATATTAGATGGTTAATAAACTCTTTTGCTTTCTTTGTATGGTGGTTTCATCATTTTCTCTCTAAGGACCTCACACTTGTGTTCTTATTTTCCAGAAGTCCAAAAGGATGGTTATAGGGCCCTTTTCTCTGTGACTTTATGGTGGCAAGCCATCCACCTTGATGGATGATTTTGAGGCCTGAGAATGTAAGGAGGAATCCGTTGCCAGACTACTTTGAAGTGCTTTCTTACTAAGGTATTAGTGATTGTGTATATTCAAACAGTAGCTAACACAGGACAGGAAGTTTTACATCAAGCCAGCTTTCCTATCACAATGCTGCTACATCATTGACTTCAAGGCAGTGGGTCCAAAAATGCAGTTACTTTCTTCAAAATACCCACATCTATAAGTCAACGATTACCTCTGGTGAGAACATGCATTCAAAAAGACTGGACATTTAACATTTTTCAGCATGGGGAAGGTTTACTGGCAAATCCTCTTTCCAAGTATCTCAGGAACTTATGAGACTTGGAAGGACTCTTGCTGTCTTTTCATGGGAAGAATGTGGGCTCAGCTGCTTGGGCTCCAGTTGTGTGGGAAGGTTTATCTCAGCCCAGACTTTTTAGGCCTTGTCTATATCCCTGGTCAGACATGGCTTTGGGAATAAATAGCTCAATGGGAGATCAGAACATCTGGGGACATACTTGTACCTAATTTGATTCACAAAGCTATCTAATCTACTCTCTAGTACTAAAATGGAGCAAAGATTATTTTATTTTCTATGAAGAAACAAACGGACTAGACTCAAAACTGGTTATTGTGTTTTAAACTGGAAAACACAGATTAGACTTACAGTAATAGAGGCAGCAAGTTTAAAATACTGTGCTTAATTAGAGTGTTAATATTGTGTTTAATTAGAGTGTGTTAAAGCTCTGCAAAAATACTTCATTGTGTTTTATTACTGAAATTACATACCTTTATTGGAACAAGTGAGACGGTTGTAGACTTTAGATAAAGATGTGCCTGAGAGCAGGGAAGAATGGTTGAGAAATTCAGGTTAAAGAACAGAAAAGCTGATTTGTTCATTTTATAAACAAATGTGCTGTCTTTTTAAATGACTTACCTTCTGCTATTTCTAGATACTAAGCAAGGAGAGAACAGTGAGACATGCCAACTTTGCTGTTAGGGAAGGTGTAGAATGGGACAGTGTGGGTCTCTGGAAGTCACTTGGTTCTGCTTCCTGTCTTCCATGTTGCATGTGTGTGCACATGATCCCTGCTTGTTCAGGGCACATTTTTTTTCTGTCTTCAAGGTTGCACAGGCTGTAGCTCTAAAGCTAGAGATTTCTTTTTCAGGGCCTCCCAAACTTGTGTACCATCTGAAGTTCTATTTGCGGAAAAACTTTAAGAGCTGGATGCTCTAGTCACCAAGATTGTCATGAGGAACTTAAGTATTGAGCACTAAACTACTAAACCAAGGGAGGAGGTGGGAGCATTAACTGTACCGCAATAACCGGATCATAGTTACCATTTTCCCACCATCAAAGAGAGATTAAATAGTTTCCATAACATGGAATGTGGACAAGGTTCCTACCCTAATACAGACTTAAATATGTAGTTGTTTGTCTCTGGCTATTTGTGGTGAATAAGCAAAGTATTTTAAAATGCCCGGGCAGCCTTGGAAAAATTACTGGGCTTTCAAGTTGTTGACAAAATATTTCTTAAATAAATAAATCTGATTTAGAAACATCTAAACATGGGCAAAATGCTTTTAAATCTGATCTGTAACTGCTTGCAGCTTTTATAAGTGGTTTCTTAAAAAACCACATCCCCTTCTTGAGTATTAGATTGAACTCCCAACCCTAGAGCATGTACTGACTAACAGGGACCTTGGCCTACCCAGCAGTTGGTCAAAGGTACAGCAGGCCCAGGCCCTGCTGAGGGGTGGTGGTCTGTAACTGCTTATAGCTTATAAGTGGTTTCTTAACAACAATACTACCATGACTTAAGGATTTGTAGCTCTCAGTTATTACAGTTCTATTTTTTTTTTTTTTTTTTT